GAGGAGGAGGAGGACGAGGAGGAAAACGAGGAGGAGGAGGAAGAAGGAAAGCAGCACTGGCAACACCGGTCGGATGGTGAGATGCAACTTTGGAACTGATGTGTTTTTCTAACCAAACTTTGCTTCTCTGCAAAAGGCAAAGAAAATGGCCACAGTCCATCGCCAAGGCCAGGACCTCAGTGCCCGTGAAACTCGGACACAAGCATCTTATCCCACAACAGCCTCCACCTCCATGGAAGAAAAGTTTCTTAAAATGGAGGAACCAAAAAATGCCGTTGATTGTGGAAAGGTTATGTCCAAACGCACTCCTGATACCCAATCCAAAGGAATGTTTCTTAACTCGCCAGACTGGCCAGTTTGAGCTCAGTGACACTCACCCCCGCCCTCCCCCCCATGGGAAAAGGGGTTCCAGAGAATCCGACAGAAGCTGCGGGAAGAGGCACGGGCCAGACAACAGCCCTCGGAGGCTTGCCTGCTAATCAAGTGGGGGTGGGGGTGGTGGTGGGGTGGGAGCAGGCTCCCCACCCCTTGGCATGCACTCGTCTTTCAAACTGGCAATGCTGCGCTCCAGTTTTGTACCAAATCAAAGCCTGTTTAGAGCAGAAGGGTTGCAAGTGAAGAAGTAGAAAATGCTGAAGAAAGGTATTCTATCCTATTTAAAAAACCCCAGTTTTCTCCATGAACAATATGAAATAAGGTGTAACATCCCCCCACATTATTCGAGAAGATTGCAGGGGAAAAGACGGTGTTGGGGAGCAGTCCTCGAAATTCACGTGAACAGCTCACTTGCGGGACTAGAAAGACAGGGACCAGGGCTCGGAGAGTACGAACCAGACATCTCTCTTCCTGGGCACAGCCTCGGCACCGACCTCGACCAGCTCCCGGGGGCTGAGTTGGGCGGGGAGGGGGGCCGGGGCCTCCGCCTGCACTCACCCTCTCCACCCCCAAAGGGTTTTTGGCTCCAGTAGCTTGGCGAAGCGTGAGTGGCAGATCTGCCACTTCCAGGCCCAGCCCCTCGGCCGCAGTCCGGGACACAGAGCGCCCTCTCCTTTCCGGGGCGCCCTCTGCTTTCCCGGGGGGCCGCCGGGACAGCGCGCCGCAGCCGGGCAAGCACGGTGAGTGAGGCCTCCCAGGAGTCCTGTCCTGGGGCTCTTGTTCCTCGGTCTCTATTTCTCGGAGAGATTACGAGAAGAGGGACAGCAAAGGAGCCACAACTTTGCTCGCAGTAAAATGGGCTGGTACTCGCCACGGTTCCAAAGGCGAAGGCGCCCGCCAGGCAGCGCCGGCTCTGCTCCCATCCCCAGCTTGGCTCTGCGATGGGCCCAGAGCCGGACCGCGTTTCTCAAAGGGTCTCTGCCCTCCGCCCCCCGGGAGCCGGGTGTGTGCCGGGAGGAGAGAGGAAGGGAGTCGGCGATGGGCAGAGGCTGCTGAAGCCGCCCCAAGGGGCCCTCGCCGGAGAAGCGCCGTGACCTTGGCCCTGGCCGGGGCCGGTTTAGGGGGATCAGACTGGCGGCGAGCCACGC